TTGGCCCCCCGCATCGCCTGCGCATCCCGGGACGCCCCCTGCACCGGGACTGCACCCCCGTCACCGGGGCTGGGACCCCGCAAGGGCAGCGCACCCCGAGACACCCCCTGCACCGGGGCCACACACCCACCCCTGGGTGTTCCCTCCCGTGCCCCAGCTCTGGCCAGCACACACACCCCCCCAGAACTCCCCTCGAACACTTCGGGGTTCCTCCTTCAACCACTCACCCACCCCCTGCACCCTGCTTGCCGCAGCCCCCAGCCCTGGGGGCAGCCAGGGGGGTCCTGCAGCCCCTGCAGAGCCCCAGGGCACTGGTGGGGACAGGAGGGGGACAAGGAGGACGCTGCCATGGAGCCCTGAGCCCCCCAGGGCCACCCCATGGGTGGGTGCTGCCGAGCTGTGGTGCTGGGGGGCACTGAGGGTGAGGCACTGCGGCGTGAACGGGGAAGCCAGTAACGAGCCACTGGACTGAGGCTGCTCCAAATTAAAAACTCTTTATTTAAAGTCTCTCCCGTTCCCCTTTCTCCCAGCCCGGAGCGATCCTGCTGCTTCACCGGGCCCAGGGGCCGGGCCCAGCACCCGCACAGCAGGGAGGGGAGGGAAGCTCACGGGAACCCTTGGCACAGGGGTCTGCACCCCACAAAGCGGCCCTGGAGCGACCCTGCACCCCACACCCCCGTGCTGCTGCAGCCCTGGGGCTACTGAGGGGCCTGCACGTGGCCAACCTTGGGCACGGCCACACTGAGCAGCACGGCTCCCCCCACCCTTGGGGGTGCCCCTCCAGAGGGAGGAGCACAGGGCACCCCAGTCCTTTCCCGGCCTGCCGGGTGCTGCCATCACTTGCGCCTGCCAAAGATGGACTTCTTGCTGGGGTTCTTCTCGCCCACGCTCAGCCCAATGAGCAGACGTGCCTTCTCATCCTCCTCCTGCTGCTGGATGGTCCCGTCAGATTTGCTCTCCAGCTTCCCCCGGGCCTCCACGCCTGGCGCCGGCTTCAGGCGGAGCTTCTCTTTGATCACCTGCCCCGGGATGGAGGGGGCTCAGCACCCCATGGCCACACCCAGGCCCCTCAGCACGGGTGGGAGCATGAGCTGCTGAGCCAGCCTGGTTGCTTCCTGCTCCTGAGAATGTGCCACCTGCCATGGGGTCAGCAGCTCCATCCCAGGAGGAAGAGCTCGGCCCCCTCCCTGTGAGCAGGAAGCAGCCAGGGTGGGCTGGGGTCTCACCTACCTGTGCCACCAAGGCTTTTCGGCTGTCCCTCTTCACCGCCATGGCAAAGTCCAGCCACGTCCACGTGTTGTTGTGGTACTCCAGGCATGGCAGCACCAGGTTCAGGTCACCCCAGTCCATGCTGCTCTTCTCACCCTGGGTGACAGGGGTGTCAGGCAGCTTGGGATGATGACCCAGGCCATAGGGCCATGCCCCCTCCCCAGCACACCCTGTCCCACAGGTCACACACCTTGTAGCTGACACAGAGTGGCACCTGGGGGATCTTGATGTAGATGAAGGAGTTGTTCATGGCTGCACGCTCCTTCATCTTGTCGATGTCATCCACGGGATGCTGGGGACAGAGCAGGAGCCAGGAGCAGAAGGGAAGGAGAGGGGAGACAGCTGGGAACCAGCAGGAAAGGGACAGCTGGGCACTGGGCCATGGCATTGCTCCACCAGGGAGAGGCGAGAGCTGCTCTGGCACCGTGTTAGGAAAATGAGATGCTGCAGGGACCACAGAGTGTGCAGGTGCGTGGCTGTAAAGGATGCAAATCCTCATGGAGGGAGGGAGCAGGAGAAAACAGGGACAGGCAGGCAGGAGGGGGACATCACTGCCCAGCCCTGCAGCCAAGGGAAGCCAGGCTGGCTCCGCAGCAGGGCTCTCCCACATTTCCCCCCTCAAGGAAGCAGCAGGTACCTCGGGTGCTTTTCTGAATGATCTCCTGACCCCTGATGTTCGATTCAGTCCCTGAGCGACTCCTTTCCCTGGGCCCAGCGAGTCATCAGCCACAATCAGCTGCCGTGGCTTCACCACGGGGATCCCTGGGACAAACAAGGCAGGAGGAGGTGGTTGGTGTCCAGGTGGGGGTCAGTCATGACCCAGACCCTCCCCAAAGGCTCCCTGCCCACAGGGTAGTTTGTAAGTCCCTATTCCTCGACACGTAGCCAGCTGGCAGCTGCCCACAAACATCCTGGACATGAAGCCAGAGTTGCTCAGCAACATCCCTTAGGTGCCAGGGAGGAGGGTGACCATGAGCTTCTCACCTGTTGTCACCAGCTTGGATTTGTCTTCCTCATCCCCCACCTCCTCCTCCTCCACATTGCGGCCAGGGAAGAAGAAACCCATCATCCTGTTGAAGAACTGCTGGGTGAGCTGGATGGTGAGGGGTACCACGTTCACCTGTGGAAGAGAGGGGTGTCAGAGCCAGGCCCACACTGCCCACGCCCCACGGGGACCCTGTCACCTCCTGCCCAGCCCTTGGCACCTCGAAGTGCTCCTTGATGGAGATGCCTCCCACCGGCGGGCGGACCTTGCTGAAGATCCTCAGTGCCAGCTGCCGGCCAGACTGGCAGGAGCTCTGGGGACGCAGCACCACCTGCAGGGAAGAGGCTGGGTGGCTGGGGTGAGGACAGGCCACCCATTGGTCCCCAGGGCACAGGGCTGCTCCCCCAGGCTGCCACTTGCCTTGTACACAGCGTTGGGCAGGAGGTTGTTCATCGTGACCCAGCCCAGCTCCAGCAGATGCTCAGCCGTGTCATCAGACTTGTTGACCTGGGCACACAGACCCCTCAGTCCCACACGTCCCGGGCCCTGGTTCAGGTGCCATGGGTGCCACGGGCCAGCTCCATACCTTGCTGTAGAGGAAGCGCTGCAGCTCCAGCTCGGCGATGCCCAGCTGCCCGTCCTCCTCAGTCAGGCGCCAGCGCGCCTGGGCAAAGTAGAACTCCGTCCGCCGCGCCACGCTCACGTCTTCCGGCTGCTTCCGCAGCTCCATCTTGTTGGCTCGTTGCAGCTGGAAGTCCTTGAAGCACCTGCAGCAGAAGGGAAGGTTGGGATTTGGGAGACCTGGAGTAAAGGGGACACAACGATGGGGGAAGCCAGAGATGGCCCCGACCTGATCAGGATGTTCAGCTCCTCGCTCTCCAGCTGCAGATCAGCTTTCTCCTGGCTCAGCTGCTGCTGCAGCCTGTGGTTGAGGTCGAGCAGGCTCTCGTTTTTGCTGTCATCCTGCAGGGACTGAAGGACAGACAACCCTCAGCACCCTCTACCCCAGAGGGAGCCAGGCCCTGCCCAGGATGTGGGCTCACCTTCACGTTGGAGTACATCTGCTTCTCCAGCTGCCGGATCTGGGCGACGTGCTGCCTCACGGCCTCCTGCAGGTGCAGGATGCTGCTGCGCTGCTCCTCAGGGTTGCTGGAAATTTCCAGCTGGAAGCGCACCCGTTGCTTCTTCTCACTGTGCTCCTGGACACAGGGATAGGGAAAGGTTAGGATTGCCCTGGGTGTGGTGAGTGACACAGTGACCCGAGGCCTGGTGGGTACCTTGCGCTTGGGCTCCACATGCAGCAGCAGGTTGTTGACTATGTCGAGGATCATGGCATACTGTGCAGGGTTGGTGGAGATCTCCAGGTCGTGGTGGATCAGTGTGAATGTATCTACAGCTCCTGCAAGGACACACAAAGGGCAAGTGGGGACATCAACATGGCCAGATACTGGATGCACATGGGAGCTAGCCAGAGATGGAGAGAATGGAGAATGGGCCAAGATGGTTATGCTGGCTCCAGCAGCCACAGAATGTGGTGCACTACCTGGGGACCCACCCTCTGATCTCAGCAAGGGCAAGACACACCATCCCTGGCCTTTTCCAGCACCTCAGGGCCAGCCCAGAACTCTACCCCCTGAGACACAGTGCATGGAGATACTAACCTTCCTGCTTCTTTAGCAGATCCTCCTTCTCCTGGTTGGCAGGAGTCTCAGGGGGCTTTATCTGCGTGGCCAGCTCGGGGTCGATGTCATGACTGTAGCTGATATAGTACATGCGGCAGCTGCAGCGCGAGATGATCCTCTGCACTTGCTGGGTCTGCTGGGCTTCTGAGGGCTGGTTCCAGTCTGCGGACAGACAGGGGGACCACAGTCAGAGCACTGTATCCTAGAATGTTGGGGACCCAAGGCAGAGTCCAGGAGCTGGCAGGGCAGTCAGGTGCACAGGCAGTACCTGTGGTGGTGCTGACCATGCCCCCCACTGCCTGCCCGCTCTCCATCAGCTCCTGCACTGAGTCCAGGCTCCGTTGCCGATGCTCCTCGATGTTTTTCACCTGGGGAGGCAAGGAGACACTGCTGGCTGTCCCTGCTCCTCCTGCCACAGGTACAGCACTGCTGGTCCCCCAAGCTGCTCACTCGTTACAGCCCCCCCAAGCCACCCACCTCCAGCCAGAGCTGCCCATGCTCCCTCTCAGTGGGGCTACTCTCTGTCGTGGCAAAGTACTGCATGCCATCCAGCAAGCAGGTCCAGGATGTCTTCTGCTTCAGCGTGTCCCCATACCAGGCAGGATGGTGCTGGCACTGCAGCAGCTGGGCCTTCGCAGCAGACACGATCACACAGCCCTCTGTCTCCGCACCG